AAAAAAAAAAAAAGGAAGGAAAACTGAACAATGGGGGGATAAATAACCAACATAAATGCTCTATCCAATTATTACTTAATATTCTCTTGAGTAGACAGCCCTTTTTGGTGAATCTTTCCTGGAGTTTTGAATCTTTCATTTGCTGTTATAGATAAACATACCAACTTATTGGTAAGGGATGGCAAGAAGGGAGTCTCGCTTGATCTTTGGCCAAAATTACTTTAAATAGGAAGTCTGGCTGAAAACGTGTATAAGGAGCAGTTGGACCCCACCTTACTTTAGGCAGCTATGCATGTAGCAGCAGAAGACTAGAGGTTTATTCTGCATAGAAATTTCAGACTTGGGGATACCAGCCTCAGTAGAAGGTGAGGGTAAAGCATGGAGCTGAAAATAGGGGATCAGGGGAAACTATGCATACTGACTCCTCTCAGCCCATTCCCCTGCCATGCTTCCACGATGCCAGCAACCAAGTGGGTATCTCCCAGGAAGGAGAGCAGAGCCATTACATAGTCCCAAAGACCTATGACAATCATCCTGAAGTGAAGCTTGCCATGCCACAAGCCTCCACCATGAACATAGAGCTGTCAATAAGCTTGATAGTTTCTCATCTTAGATTATGAAAGGCTGGCCACATTATCAACTGACATGACGAGGAAAGGTCCACCATGAAAGACAGAGACTGTAGCAAAAAAACAAAAAAGGAAACTCAGATAATTCAGAGACAATGTGGAGAACAGAAAAAAAGTTTTAAATACTATAATTAATATCCTCAGAGAGACAACAGAAACATATTGCATCCATAATGCAAGAAAAGGAAGCTATGGAAAAGAAATAGAGAACAATGCCAGGATGATCCAGACAGGATAGAAAAAGAAGGTGAAACGACAGTGCCACTTAAACGATGGATGGAAGGACACATACCACTGGGTTAAAGAGGTAAAGAACGAAAAGAGAGCATGCTGCACCATCTGAAGGGAAGAATTTGGGACTACGCATGGTGGAGAAGGGGATGTGAAAAGCACACATGGAGACTGAATCGCACAAGTTCAGGATGAGACAGGCAATACTTCCAAATTAAAAGTTTTTTTGCCTCCTCAAAAAACACCAGTGCTTGGCTGGAAACAGTGGACGCTGAATTAGTCTGGCCATTCCACACAAAGGGACATGCGTTATTGAATCCTTCCTTTGATACCCCTATGACACTGAGTCAAGTTACATTTCCTGGCTCAGAGGTCGCAACTAAAACGTCCTGTGGGTGAACAAATGGAGAAATTTTGATGACAGGTGTCTTATCTCTTTCTGTGTAGAGCTGATTCTATCATATCAATGATAGATATCAATGATCATGCTTTCTACACTGTATCAAGTGATACGTCAAATCACAGCAACAAAAAATATGTTGCCCCTATTTCTTAGGTACTTGGATTTGAAATATGGAATTTCAAAGCATCTTCTTGACTTCTATAACGTTTTAATAAAATAAAAAAAATACAAAACAAAAGACTGTTGATATGGTATCGAAATACAACCTAGCCTTTGCTCAACTATCTGCACATGCAGTAGACAGTGCACACGTAAATTTGGCAGATTCCATTCAATCTATAAACTTCTTATCAAAGAACATGAAAAGATCTTACCAGTTAAATGTCCTGCATACTCTGTACACACCACTTCTAAAAAGCCATACAATTTGCTTTTTTTTATTAACAAAGTTTTGATAATGTAGTTATCAAAATGCAGATAAAGTTTATCAAAATGTAAAGTGTATCAAAAAGGTCACTCTTGAGTTTCTCAAAACTTGCAAAAGCACTTATTGAGATTTTTAACTGTACAGAAATAGAAGAAGATAGCCACCTTAGACATATGCCTACAAGATGACTATCATTGTTCCTGGCCTTTGAAAAGATTTAAAATGTTCCTTTGAAAAGATTTAAAATGTTGGCCTGCCATAAAGTCAATTGTCAAAATTTGAGACAAAAAGGATGTCCATTTCCAATGTGGAAATACACTGAGGATGAGAATGGAGAAAAAGATTACAGTAAAACAGAAACAATATGCTGTTTCTCCAAAACTATAATGACAGCTGTAACAGGAGGCCTGGAGAGCAAGCAGTCCAGACTGACACGGGAGAGAAGGAGCTCGGCAGATCTTCAGGGCAAAGAGATCGATGGATTTTTAAAATGTACTTGACTATTTGAAGATATCATTGACATATGATACACATGATGAAAAAGGCAGAGAAAAAAGAAAGATCCCTAAACAGTAATACCAATGAAACAGAAGAGGCAATTATTACTTCCAGGGGAAAAAGCGGTATAAGAAAAACATAATTATAATAATATACTGCTCAACAATATTTATAATGTCATAGTGATATCAATACTGACTGTTAATGTAACCAAACTCTTATGACGTAACCACAGAGATGTGACAGAGGGGACAGGAAGTGAGAGTGGATGGTGGAATGAAAGCACTGAATTCCTACCTCCCGTACGAGGAGTCCCCAGACAGTGATCATATATCAAGAAACAGCAATATAAAGCATATTATTTAAAGAGATGAAGGTTAACATCAGAACAGAGGTATTCTCCAGGGGATGGGGTGGGGATCACTGTCTTTCATTACAAGTCTTTCAGCACTATTAGAATTTAAAGCTGAGCATATAAATACTTTAAAAATAAGTGACACAGATTCCTAAGGCCACTCCCAGAAATTCTGATGCGGTAAATCTCAGGTTAGGCTGGTAATCTGTAATTTTAAGCCCCTCAGGTGATCCTGAGAGAGAGGCCTAGGACAATAAGACGATTTATTTAACCAATTAGAGGCCAAGTCAGGACTAGGCCACCAGACTTATGATTGCAGGTTACTGTGTTCTCTATACCACTTACCCCCGGTACCCTCACAGTAGTCCTACTAGGTTTTAATAAATTCTCTTTAGAATTTTGCTAGAAATATAAAAAATTGTTGGCAAAATCTGGTGGAGCCCCACCAAATGGATCCCGTCTCTAAGCCTGCAAAAGGAAAGGAGTCAGGCAAGATTACAAGGTGAAGAAGTCAAAAACTTACCGCAGGCTGACGGACCGTTGAGCTAGTGAAAATAAAGACAACTTCAGTTTGTTTTAAAGATGAAGAAAGTGGGGAATTAAGCAGTAAAGACAATTAGGAGCAGCAGACAAATGAAATTCCTAGTCTGGACAGAAGATCCAGGAAGAAAGGATGACCGTGAAGATTACCTTTGAATACGGATGCTTTGATCCGAGAATCCTTGCGTGTCGATCATCACATCGGCTTCATCCAGGACAAACACACGAATTTTAGTCAAATCAATTAACTTTCGCTTGAAACACCAATCTAGGACAGTCCCAGGAGTGCCGATTACAATCTGTTTGGTGACGTCAGTGCCTCTGGGAACTAGGAGAAAAGGTTTGAAGGGCTCCTTCAGATGCAGACGACTCTAGCAGTCCACAGTTCAGGGCAATGCCACTTACAGCTCTTAATGATTTTCCAAGCGCAACCCCTGAGGGTCATTGTGTTTTTGATTTTGCAGAGTTTTAGGATAAATTCCCGAGTTTCTAGCTTTATTGTAATGATAATAGTCCTGCATATGTGATTCTGCTCCACAGTCATTTAAAAAGCCACCCTGCAGCAATCCCACTGTCCTACAGAAATACTGGCCCAGTTGTGAAAACCCTACAAACCCTCCCCAAATGGAAAACAACCAAAGTGTCTATCAATAAGTTACATTAAATAAGTTATGGAATATTACACAGCCAGTCAAAAGAATGAGGTGGGGCTCTTACGTACTGATATGGAAAGATGTCCAAATCATGTAAGTTTTTTAACAGTATGGAAAAAACGCTCCCATTTTTTTAAACACTCTATGAAAACAAATAATACATATGTGCATTCGTATGTGTATGAGCTCAAAAAAATTGCAAAAATGAAAATCTGTTAACAAAACTGTAGTTATCTTTGGAAATAGGTGTTTGGAGGACAAGGAAGAACAACTTTCACTTTTACCTTCTAATCTTCTGAGTTTTAAAGATTTTTTTCACTATATGCATACAACACTTTAATGAAAAAGTTAAACAATAAAAGCTATTCTGCACCAAAACAACTGAGCCTCAAAGAAAAGAATATACAAAAGCATCCTCCTGTGGGATGTGGAAATGATGCAGCTGACATTCACCGGGTCTTCATTATGTGCCCAGCGCTGTGCACGGTGCTTTATCTATATCATCTCATTTAATTCTAAACAACTCTATGACACAGGTGCTATTATATCCCCTACTTTAGATACAAGAAAGCAGAGAAGTTATATAACATACTGGTTAGTGGTGGAGTCAGGATTTAAAAACTCAGCCAGGACTGGCTACCAATACATACTTTGATTGCCTCGAATGGCATACATCACTTGAACATCCACACAGAATTTTCCCATCCGTTCAACCACATGGCCAGTTTGCAGAGCCAATTCATAAGTAGGAGCCAGGCAGAGGCACTGTGAGATACAGAAGGGGGAAGGAGGAAGGTTCATACAAGCCATCATGCAGATTTGAAATACAATTAAAATCTGTACAGGGAGAGGCACAGAAGTGAAATTGGAAATTTTGGCTGAATAAAATGTTTCAAATTGAATACAATTTAGCAGTTGATAGATCTGAGGGGAATGATGAGTTTCGGCGGGAGGGTAGAAGGGGCAGAAGGATGGAGGAATAGCTGTCTTTTACATATTCCTCTCTCAAGAGTTATGAAGAAACACAGGTCACTGGTCACGCTTTTTTGGTGGGGGAAGAATGGGATGTAGGAAGGCTGGAAATCAAAAAGAGAGGGAATGCAAGACAAATTACAGCTTGAGTGTGATCCCCATCACCTCCTGCCCACTATTAAAAGTCTGCCTATTTCCAGAACACTCCCTGCTTGATCTAATCCATCTTATACATCTGTGGCAGAATATTCCCTCAAATGCTTTCATCTGTTACTTCCATCTCCCCTACGGTTGATAGTGGTTGTTGATGAATGAAGATGTTGTGGGAGAAACTGGTGATATTTAATGCATTTATCTGCTTTAATGAAGGATCTGTGATAGAGAGGAGGGGGAAATAGAGCTGAAGTGCTAAAAACCATTTCCACACACATTTCTCAACATGTGCTCCAGCACAGCTGTCTTGAAGAATTTTTATTCATAATATCAAACTCCAAACATAAATTTCACTGAACTTGTCCAAAAAAAAAGCACAAGATTTCCTATGCCTGGTCTTACTCATCCACAGCCCCAGCTTATCTTGCTGATCAGATGGTAAGCTTCCTGAGCATGCTCGTTTCCCCACAGCACTGAGTGCACTCGATACTCGGGTACTCAGCTTGCCAAACGAGTTGATAAGTACAGTTTGGAGAAGGAGGGAAAGATAACCAGATGCTTTCCATGAGTGCAAGCTAGACTAGGAGAATGGGAAGCTCCATTCCAGTCCCTGCTCAGTGACTCTCTGACACCTGTAACCTTACATGAGCCATTTCCCTCTCCAAGCCTCAGTTTTCTCCTCTGCTAGATGAGTGAGGTGGACTGGATGAGCTTCTAGTTTTATAGCTATACAGCTATCAATATTGAATGCTCACTTCATGCCAAGCACAACGCTAAAAAGTACATCATTTCCTTTAATCTGTATGACAATCCTATGAGGCAAGTATTCATTCATTCATTCATTCAATGTTTAATGAGTGCTTTCCACGAGCCAGGCACTGTGCTTGGGGTTAGGATTCAAGGTGAACACAACAACTACGATCCATGCCTTTATAGATGTGATCTTGACAGACAAGGCAACAGACTCGGAAAGATTTACTAACTTGCCTAAGACATTCAGCTAGTAAGTAGAGAGGTTGGGATTGGAACCAGTCAAGCTATAAAGCCTGGGCTCTCAATTACTGCCCCATACTGCTACCCAATACTCTATGATTTTATGAAAGAATGTCTATTCTCAATGTTATCATATCATTGCAGCAATAACCCCTATTACTAAAATGTCATTGGCATTGCAAGCATTCCCATTTCTCTCTCAGCATTTCCTTACCTGTGGGAACAATTCCAAGGCATTAACTCTGCTTAGCATTGCCAAGACAAAAGCAGCTGTTTTTCCTGTTCCAGACTGGCTCTGGGCTATGAGATTCTGGGGTCTGTAGGGAAGAGGAGACCACTGGGCATAAACTGAATACAAGAGCCTGGGCATAAATTGAATATAAGAGACTAAAAATAACCAAGTTGGAATACCACTACCCTGGAAACTCACGGATGTGCCAGCATCATAGGGAGAGCCATCTCTTGGATTTTGGATGGTCTATTAAATCCCAATGCATAGATCCCTTTTAGTAACTCTTCCTTTCTGTCAAAAAAAAAAATCATACACTTAAAGATTATGATTGGTTAGCAGCCTCAGAAATACACACTTGAAAGGTGCATTTCTCAATTAAGCCACTTTGCAACTGAGCTTGCAACTACTGCCAAAGTAATAGTTAGAAATATATAATTTATAACTCAACTCCAAAACATATACAAGCATGCCTGTACAGTTGGACCACTAAAATAAGCTATGCTATAAGCCTAGGCTGAGGACAGTAATAAGAGCCTAATGTTGAACTTTCTGTTGAACCAAGAAAAAAAGGACAAACTCATCTGATAGAAATATATCAATTTGCTAGGAGAGTTTTATTTTCCACACAAGCCGAAAACTAAGTGAGATTTATTGTTCAATTCTTTTTAATGAACGACAAACTTTGATGTTTTAGCAGTAATTTCAGAAAAGACAAAATTTTATTTAGGTGATTTTTATATCAATTCTCTCTAGGAACAGAAGACACAATATTACCTCACTCTTCTGAGCCAGTATTTTTAAATGCTTCTTTCCTGGGGCCTCATGATATATGTGAGAAAGAGTTGTGATAAAGTGAAGTAGGCTGGAACACTTCCACCTTCAATGACATGCACGTTTTGGATGTGCTTAATTGGTAGATTACTGGTAGCGAACTTTTAATTATAGGTAGTCTTCTTCCATTTAGAAAATGTCTGGGCATTGGGATTTTGGATTTTTCCCCTTTACATAAGTCCGTATCAGTAACTCTCCCTGGTAAAACACATTTCCTTAATACCAAGTGATAAATTCCTAAGAAATGCAAACCCATTTGGGAAAGTTATTCATTTTAATACCATTTGAAACAAAATATAACTAGGAAGGTAAAAGCTTGTAACTAAAGGAGATGGGAGAGGATATTTGGGTCATCAATGTCCCTGTATCTGTATTCTGGTATGCACAGTAGCAATATGGCTGTGTCAGGCTTAGCTATCCCCCTTAGCACAGCAAGGTTAAAATATTTTACCATCAAAAATGTTCTCAATTCACTGGACAATTCAGGTATCCTAGTGTTCCTCTTGGAGCTACATTTTAACTGCATGCAAAATGTACACATCTCATTTTAATATTGAATATTAGAACATGAAGGCAATTCTGATGGTTTTTATTAGCATCGTTGTTTGTTCTGTGCTATGCTTTCCAGCATTTTCCCACACTAAAAGAGTAAAAATACTCACAGCCGCAGCTCTTCAAATGTTTTCACAGAGTAGAGTGGAGAGCTGGGATCCTTTTGTAAAACTTCGACTCGGTGACTGGATTCTACTAAGGATTGTCGGATTAGCTTATTTAAAAGTGAATTAGCTGCCAAATCCACTAGAAAAAGCAAGAATAAAAAAGGGGATATTGCAGGGGAAAAATCAAGCCTCTTGAACAACACCTAATAAGTTCCTCCCTTCCATTCAGTGGTTGTATACAAAGCAACCGCTCCTACTCTCATCTTTCTTCTGAAAGAAGGTTCCAGAAAAAATGACATAGCACTGAGAATTCCTTTTTTCATGAGGATCCAGTTTCTTATGCTTTGCTATTACATTAACCTCAAGCAAGCCTACACCCATTGCCACCAGATCTAATTTTTCCTTGTCAGCTGAAAATTCTTAACCCTTTCCTACATATTCCATTTCAACTTCCTCTAAATAAATCGACCCCACTCCTAATTTAGTATTTCTTCTGATATTCACTATTTATAAAGAAAATAGAAGCAAAGACAGTTCTCTTCCAATTGCGATTCTTCACTCACATTGTCCAAGACATGACTGACTGACACAGAATGCTAGTAGATACATGCAAATGAATTTATCTCCTACCTACATCTTCTTCATCATCTTCTTCAGTGTTATTAATAGAACCATCTAAAAGGATGGAAGAGAAATAATACATGTAAAGATAATGCCGAGCAGAAATGTAAAGCGTTATTATCCCAATTTCTCTTGCCAACTGTGTTTACTGACAGGAAAGGCCATCCAGGGGAGGAGTAAGCAAAAAGACTGGGAAGGTAGTGGAGGGCCTTGGATGTTAAATTAAGGGAGCCAAAGGTATTCAGTTGCCAGGGACATGAGGAAAGCAACGCTTTTTAATTAATTAAGGCCCATCTCCTTTACCCTAACAGCACTCACCTACGTTTGGGACTGTAGTAGTCTTAATACCCCGAAGGTTCTTCCGGGGGTGGATGAGGTTTGAAAACTATTGAAAGACACAAATTTCAACCAATATTAGGAAGCAAGCCCTCAAGCAGCCCAGTGCTCCCCCCTAACAGGGGCTGGAAGGGATGCAGAGAAGCCCACCCAAATACTGTTTCCTTTGCAATGTTAGGTATTAATGGATTCCTTTCAGGAATAGGTCTCCTGTATGTATTATCCTAAAATTGGTGGAGACTTTCCGCTGCCTCTGTAGATTAAGTTCCTCTTCAAAGGCTTCTAGTCTAAAAGTCCTTGGGGTCAAAGCACGAGCAAGGGACGGTGGATAGGCAAGGGCTTTGGTAGATAAGACGGACGCCAGCCGAGGCTAATGGTCAAATTGAGAGACTAGAAAACTCAGGGTCTAGTTGGGACTTGCGGTAGCTTTCGCTCCCGGGACTTCCAGGTGACTTCATTTTGCCCTTTCACACCAAAGGTCGTGTTCTCTCTCGGGGTCTCCTTTCCCGTGACCGTCTTCCAAACCCTTGCCCCATCTCCCCTCCACCACCTGACACCCCACTCCAAATGCTAGCGGGGCTCCCCCTTCCCTCCCCTCCCCAGCAGACTTCCCTCTGGGGGTGCTGATCGACCCCCCGCCCCTTTGCCCTCCCCGGCTCGGTGGCGGTTACGTGGCTGTTCAGCCGCTCGCTCTCCGCCGCCCCTGCGTCGCCTCCCCAAAGTAACGACGCCATAGCTGCGATCGCTGCTCCCGCCCCCGGCACGTGGCGTCCCCCACAGGCGCGAGGCAGTGCCTGGCCGCACTCAGCGACCAATGGGCTTTCTCAGGGGGCAGGCTCATGCGCCCGTGACCACCCGCTGCGCGGCGCGCAGGCGCCTGAGCTCCGGGGAGGAGGGAGGGAGGGGTCGGGAGAGGAGGGGAGGGGCCGCGGGAGGAGGGGTAGAACTGTGTTGATCCGCCAGGTTTCTAGTTGGTCAGCCCCGATCCGGGTCAGGTGTTAGGAAACCGGGGAGGGGGCGCTATCCTAGTGAACATTCACCTGCTGCTGACCTCTGCTAAGCCAACAACAGCTTGGGACTCGAATTGGCAGCAATTTTCTTACTGACTTGAGAGTCCTACCTCCCTTACCCCACCGCCCACTACCCAGACAATTCTCCTGGTAGTGACGCTGGACCCCCCACCCCCACCCCACACACGCTTCAAGCTCTCGTGCCCGCTTTACCCCCGAAATTCCCGCTTCTACATTACAAGATGTCAGAAAGGCTAGCGAATTGCATAGGAAAGTGGAGGGTCAAAATGGGTGTTTCATCTGACAAATGAATTTTAATGTGAAAGATGCGGAGAGGAAGTAAAGTCGTTCAAGTTCTAACTACTATCCCTGTTCCTAGATACCTGTGATGTTCCACATACCGGCTTGTTTTACTTTTGTTACTATGTGCCCCTTGCTAAAACAATCCTGAGAAAACTGTTTTCCTTTCAACTTCCACCGCCTATCTGCACCTGCATAATCCAGGATAGATTCTTTGTACTACTGACTGCTAAATTTGGACAAAAGAACCAGATTTTTTTCCAATTTCCTGACTGGAATCTTGAAATTTGGATCAGCATCTCTGGAAAAACCCACAAACAAAAACCTAGTTATGATCTCTCCGTGGTGCTGAAGCAAGACTCCTCAGCTCTGTTCGGTCACTCTTAGGCACCTCAACTGTTTGTTTGGAGGTTATCATGTTCCTTTTCAGCCTTTATATGTGGATTCTAATAGTAAACGTTTTGTCTCTCAATGGTAACTTTCTACCAATTTAAGTAGGTATAAATTCGGGCCAGGTTCTTTAATTTCAGTTTGCGTATGAGGATAGCAGACATTTGAAAAATTACTTTTCTATTATTTTAGCGAACTAGAATTTATCCTATCTTTTATTCTTGTACTACCACGAGCCCCAGATTCTGCCTTGTCGGAGGTGGAGAAATGGTGGCCAGCCTAGAAAAACATCAGGCAGATCTCAGCGCCTGCACCCTCGGCTCTTAGAACTACATTTCCCACAAAGACGGACTACCTCTCCCATGAGGCACCGCGTGCGCGCGAGGAAGACGCAAAATGACAGCTTCCCGTCTTGCGAAAAGCTGCGTGGCCCACGACCGGAAGGTAAGCGTGAGGCTTTTGGGGTGAGTTATTTTCTGGGTTTTGCAGAGAGGAACGCTCAAATGGACAAGCAGCAGGAGGTTTCTCTCTCCCCTATCCCCTTTTCCCATACTTTGATCTTTTCAGGAAAGCACTGGTGTATGGAAGTGGGACCTCGTGTTTCTGTGTCTGGTGCTTCTGGCAGAAAGGTCCTTCTCAGCAGTGGGACCTTCTTTAATTGATTCTTGTAGGGACCTTGGACTGTGGAGTTAAGTCTCTGCTGCCTCAGAATTCTGTTTGCTCTGAAAACTAAATACTACTAGAGGTCGGGATCCCAGTCGTCTGTAGGGTGGGAGGGAGGCGTGGCGACTGTTTTTTATTAGTGATCATAGTGCGTGCCTCCTGATACTTTGGCTGTTACCCCTCCTTCCCTCTTTTACAATCAAGTTTATCATGAGGAAAGCTCTTTGCACTACTCCACTGGTTACTAATATTTTCAAGAGTAAAACCCTTTTTTAACTTAAAAAAATGTATTGAAACTCTAGCAATGGCTGTTTTAGTGTTTACAGTGGATGCTTAGCACACGCAGGAATTCCCTCTTCCTGGTAATGTGGCGGCTGCTTTTCAGGTGTTACATGTCTGCTTGAGAACCACTGTTATTTTACCCTGAGGATGGTACGGTGTGCTGGAGAAAGCACTATACTGAGAGGAGTCTTGAGCTCAAGTCCTCTTTTTGCCACCAATTTGTCTTATTACCCGCTTAACCCCTTTGGACTAGTTCTTTGGTTAAATAAGGGTTGAACTAGATAACCTTGGAAACTTTTTGATTTGGTAACATTGGGCTTGGAGATAGATACAAAGAAGGTAAATCATTGGAGTGTTTTGCTGTAATTTCCATGTAAAAAATGCTATGTGGCTTTTAACTTTTTAAAAAATAGAGGTATAAAGAGAATAAAAACTACCTTTAGTCCCACTACCCAGAGTTAGGCTTTGATTTTTCCTTGTGCATTGTGTATATGGGTGTATGGCTGAGATCAGAGTGCATCGTTTGCAACCTGTTCGTTTCACCTAATTTGCATTTTTCCATTAGCTTCCCGTGATTCTCAATGACTGATATTCTAATGTCCATTTAATCACTTTACTATTATTGGATAATTTGCGGTTTTTACTTATTTGCAGAGTATATATCCTACATGTATCTTTGACTCACTGATTCTTTCCCTCATAAATGCCTACCAATGGAACTGGGTGAATGAATGAATGAATGATGGAGAAAATGTATTTCGGTAGATAAGAATGGTCAAGGTCATTCATTTTTATGTTACACAGCTGTTTTTCCTTGAGCAAGCAAATTATTTATGCTGTCACTCTTCTGGCTTCAAATGCTAAAACTGACAACCTCTAGATTTTAGATGTTCCTCATTGGATCAGAAGCATCAAGAACAAATAGGTCCAATTTAAGGTGAGCAGAATTAGTGTTTTGGTCTGTACCCAAATAGGCCAGATTCATTTTCATATTTATGTCTGCACCTGGTTCCAGATGTTAGTAGTGTGAAGTTCTGTTGCAGTGGGAATAGCCTTCAAGTAACAGCCATAATTTCTAAGAAAATCTCAGTGGCAAATTAAAAAAAGCATAGTATTCTAGAAGTAACAACTGGAGGGCACTATATTATTGAAATAATTCTGAAACAAAATCTTGTATGTCATATAGTGCTGTTATTGAGCATCTATTACAAAGCACTTTATTTGGTTATCTGGATTTCCTATCTTCCTGTAGTAATTGAGGATATCTGTGCTGTGACCTTTCTTCCTTCCTTTAGGATTGTGTGTGTAAAGGCCAGGTTTTTTCCCTTTCCCTTTCCCTTTGGCTCTCGTTATTTAGGTGGTGAGAGTATGATGAGGAGTATGATTGGAAGCAGAATCATAACCCAGGTTTGAGATCATCTTACTTTGGGAAGTAAAAATAAGGTTAAGTTCACAAATTTCCAGAATTCTTTAATGGATAAGCTTAATGCCCAGAAACTTGAAAAACACACTAATAAAAAGAGCAACTCACATTGGCCAAAGGTAAAAAGATTTGTAGAACAGAAATAGTGCTAACTGATTTTGCTTACTAATCTCACAAAACAGAAAGACAGGTCTGTTTTTCTTTCTCTGGCAAGATTTCTCCTGCAATTGCTGACTCTGAGAGTGGTAATTTGGAAGTTAAGTGGCATCTGATACCAATGTGATATATACCTAGAATAGACCAATGATGACTGAAGTCCTTACTCTATAATGTCCCAAGGGCTTTCAAGTTAATTGTTTCTAACAACTAATTTAAATAAAAGAAGAGCTATAAAGAACCAGGTTATCCCAAACAATCTTGTGAAGAGATAGGTTAAAAAAAAAAAAAAAAAAAAAGACTTAAGAAGGAGAAAGAGGGAAGGGAAGCTTCCTGGGAATGACACCATTTGCAAGGTCACAACGAACACCCCAACGGAGGGCAGATCTTTTCTTCTCAGTTGGTACTAGGTAATTGTTTGGAACATATATGTGCTGAGGCTTCGATTGGGGTTCTGCTCGACAAAGCATCTGCTCTCGGACACCCCAGCGTAATTCCTTCCTATGATCTTCACCAGGAAACCGCATTGAGTCCCAGTCTCGTTTGTACTCAAAATAGCGGGCTACCCGGTCTACCTTGCCCCGGTTTCGGCTTAACTGGTCCAGCTTTGGGAGAATAAAGGACTTGGGTCGGCTGGCAACAATCAGGTCTTGTTCATATGCTGGAGGGCCCATTCCTTCTCTTCGTAGATAGCAAATGAGCTGATCCTGAGAGACTCCATGATATTCATGTGGTAGATTAAATTTTTGGGAAGTATCAACTGGGGATTCCCTGTCTTCCTGGAACTGTAGATTCATCAGCCTTTGTCTTAAGTCCCAGAGATCCACATCACTTTCTGTACCAGACTCTGATTCACTGATAATTGACTCATCTGTCACTAATACTTCCCCACCTGGCTTCCTACGCAGCACTTTTCTCTTCATCACTGGCTTCCGGAGTCTTCTGGAGGCCTCTGAGACTGTTTCTGAAGTGACATTATTTTCTACGTATGGGTACTGCAGGTGCACAGGAAGAGCAGATCGGTTTCCTGGGGTTACTGAAGCTTTACTGTAGGGATCATATTGGACAGACTGGGCTTCTCTCCTGACATCTCCCTCACCCTGCCCTGCACAGATATGGGTAAAAGCTGTAGCAGCTGCTAACATTTGTTCTTCTGGATCCATATTGGCCCATTTTTGTCCATCAGGTCCCATGAGTTCCTCCATTGCTTCCCCTACACTGTAGGACCTTCTGCAAGAGAAAACATTGATCAGTTTTCTGATAATAAATTCCCAATCATAAACTGTTCATTCCCTTCTTGTCTATTATTTTATAGCAGTCACATGGAAAAGAATGACCAAAGCAATCTTAAGTACAATAGTTATACAGTCATGCACTGCATAGTGATGTTTCGGTCAACGACGGACCGCATATACGACTGTGGTCCCCTAAGATTTGTACCATAGAGCCTAGGTATGTAGTAGGCTATACCATCTAGGTTTGTGTAGGTACACTCGATGTTTGCACAATGATGAAATCGCCTAACGATGCATTTCTCAGAACGCATCCCCATAGTTAAGCAATGCATCACTGTATAATAAAATATAGATTAGTACAGGGTAGTATGGGAACAGTTTGGAGGGGCATTAACTTAGTTTTAGAGAATCTATTACCTGCTTTCATTTCCACTCTCTTACTACTCGCTCTTAACTTTCTACTGCCTGGTAGTTCTTGCCACCTTTAATAGCTACTAGGACAGCACAGGTGAGTTCTGGCATAAGAAAAGCTTGAGACTACAAGATATGGGGCATAATGCTTAATGTACATTATGTAACTTGTACTTAGAGGGACACTTTATGTATCTAGCAGTGTTCTATGTGCTTTACATTTATTAATTCATGTAATCTTCACAACTGTGAGATAGGTACTAAATTTTTTTTTTTTGTGAGGAAGATCAGCCCTGAGCTAACATCTGCCAATCCTCCTCTTTTTTTTTTTTGCTGAGGAAGATTGGCTCTGGGCTAACATCCATGCCCATCTTCCTCCACTTTACATGGGACGCTGCCACAGCATGGCCTGACAAGCAGTGCGTCAGTGCGTGCCCGGGATCCAAACCGAGGAACCCTGGGCCGCCGCAGCAGAACCTGCGCACCTAACTGCTTGCGCCACCGGGCCGGCCCCTAGGTACGCTTATCATCTCCTTTTCACAGGTGAGTAACATGAGGCATAGAAAGGTTAAATAAATGGCCCAAGATTATACAGCTAGATGTGGGGGAGCTGGAATTCCAACTCAGTCAGTCTGGCTTAAGAATCCTTGCTTTTAACCATGAGAGTGATTTAATCCAAAAAATCATCACAAAGGCAGTAATATGCATGCATACTCTCTTTATGCTTAAGTAATTTTAATGCATCTTCAGTTGCCAAGCTAAATCTGTTCATCCCAGTACTCTGTCACTGAAATAAAAACTTTTAGTATTCAACCAGCCAAATACCTAATGCTAGTTTCCTCACTGGATCTGGGATAGGTATCTACTGCTCACTATTTCCTGTGTCCCTACTATTTTTCTTTTTAAACTGAAAAACTAATATATGCAGCACATGGTAATTTTAAGCAAGGATTCCCCCTCCACCCACCAAGTTTCACTCTTAAAGGCAGTTTCTTATAATTTCTCCAGTATTTTCCATATTCATATGCACATTTTTTATACCATAAAGGAGCATATTATACAACTCTTCTGAACCTTTAAGACATTCTTGGTGATCCAGCTATATCAACACATGTAAACTTACTTCATTTTGTTTAAAGTTGCATAGAACTCCGATGTATGGATGTACCATAATTTATTTGGCCAGTCCCTGATTGATTTAATTTAGGCTTACAATCTTTTGCTGTTAAAAACGAATGTTACAATGAATATCTTTTTTTTACATACTGTGCAAGCATAAGTATATGTTAAATTTCTAGAAACGGAATAGGTGGGTCAAAAGCTATGTGTGCTCAATTTTGATAGCTGTTGCCAAATGCCCTCTAAAGAGAAGTTGTACCAACTGTGTATGACAGAGCTTGTTTCTCCAAAGTGGTGTACTATCAAACTTTCTAGTCTTTGCAGTCAGTTTGGTAAAAAAATAGTTCTCATGTAAATTGGCATTTATTTAAATTGAGTAAAATTGAGCATCTTTTCATACATTTATAGGTTTTTTTCTCCCTTTTTGTATGAAATGCTTGTTCTTTTCCCATTTACCTCTCAGGTTGTTGGATTTTTTTTTTATTGATCTTTATATTAAAACGGATTTATATATTCTTGAAATATGTATTAAGGAAGTTAGCCCTTTACTGTCATTACTTTTTTCTTCCCAGTTTGTTGTTTACCTTCTGACTTTATTTTTTGCTAGTAGAAACTTTTATTTTTAGGTAGTCATATTTTTTTCTATAGTTTTCTATAGTTTCTGGGTTTATACAGTGTTTTACTTAGAAATGCCTTTCCCACTCCAAGATTTTAAGAAAGTTATTCCCTATTTTCTTCTAGTTTTTTTTTTGTGAGGAAGATTAGCCTTGAGCTAACATCCATTGCCAATCCTCCTCTTTTTGCTGAGGAAGATTGGCCCTGGGCTAACATCTGTGCCCATCTTCTTCTACTTTATATGTGGGACGCCTGCCACAGCATGGCTTGATAAGTGGTGCGTAGGTCTGCACCCAGGATCCAAACCTGCGAACCCTGGGCTGCCGAAGCGGAGCGCATGAACTTAACCGCTACGCCACCAGGCCAGCCCCACTTCTTCTAGTACTTTTATAGCTTCATTTTTTACATTTAAACTTTTAATCTATCAGAGATATAGAAATTCAAAGGGCAAAAAATTAAATGAGCTACTTAGATAACACCGTCAGCCTTAGTAACAGATGTGGAGATGATCTTCTATAACTAAAGTAACCATCCGTCATAGACTGTCTAGTACTGTCCCAATTTTAAGGATGTAGTACAGCTGTCTTCAGATTTGAAATATGCCAGGAATTTCAACATTGACATCTAAATTACATTATCAAGACTAACTCTTCCAGCTGCTAGAGGTATAGAAATCTTTTATCAGAACATGTACTAAATTTGTCTTAAAGGATCATGATGCTTAATTACCTTCTTTCTGCCATCAAAACTGCTTAAAGTGGGAAAATCTCTACTCCAGGTTCTACTTTATTCCAATATGAAGTACAATCATTGACAAGTTTCTTCAATCAGGCTAGCTCCTATTGTACCACCTTTAAGATAGAACTGACTATTAGATGATAGAACACAGAAGTCACTAATTTTATCTGAAATACTGGAAAACAATAGAAACTCAGAGTAGAAATTTTATATTCCATATAAAGAGATCTATGATTAGAAAGATTGGAAAAATATAATGAGAAGTCAAAAGGAAATGTTTTAGGGAAAAATACCAATAACATCAGTCCTCAATCATCTCAGCTAGTGAAAAATAGGGAAACGAAACCTAAAGACATTTTCCCTAAATTTTGATTACTTACCCCTTAACAATACAAGCTGAATAATTTTTGATACTATTTTCCTTTTCCCCTGCGAACTGGCCAGGCAGGATCGGAAAGAATAGTATCTGTGGATGATCAACCCATAATAATTAATATAATGCTTGTATCCCTGGGCAGAAGCAAAAGTCTATATCCTTTAGGCATTAAATTAAATCTTAGATACTATTTGGACATGATGGAATGATACTGACATCACCAAAGGAATTAGCACTGAAACTGTTGTATCCTTTTACTCTCTTTTCAGGTAAGGTGGACCTATGTGATTTGTTTATTCCTGGAGTTATCTTATCATGGCTGAAGATGACACAGACAGAAACCAGACTGAGAAACTACTAAAAAGAGTGCAAGAACTGGAGCAGGAGGTACAAAGACTTAAAAAAGAACAGAACAACAAGAAGGACTCAAACGTTAGAGAAAATTCTTCAGGAAGTGGAAAAGCTAAGCGTGCATTTGATTTCGGTGCTCATGGTCGAAGACATGTAGCCCTAAAGATAGCCTATCTGGGCTGGGGATACCAGGGCTTTGCCAGTCAGGAAAACACAAACAATACAATTGAAGAGAAACTGTTTGAGGCTCTAACCAAGACTCGACTAGTAGAAAGTAGGCAGACATCCAACTATCACCGATGTGGGCGAACAGACAAAGGAGTTAGTGCCTTTGGACAGGTAAGGGCCACTCTTCTGTTTCTCAGAGCAAGCAATACCAATATATTCTAGGTGTACATACTGAGGATTCAGGTTATTTGTATCTCTAAAACACAGTATCTTTCTCTAATTCCACAGGTGATTTCTCTTGACCTTCGTTCTCACTTTCCAAATGGCAGGGATTCAGAGGATTTTAATTTAAAAGATGAAGTCAGTGATGCTGCTAAAGAGATCCGATATACTCACATTCTCAATCGGGTGCTCCCTCCAGACATCCGTGTACTGGCCTGGGCCCCTGTAGAACCCAGCTTCAGTGCTAGATTCAGCTGTCTTGAGCGGACTTACCGCTATTTTTTCCCTCGTGCTGATTTAGACATTATAACCATGAACTACGCAGCTCAGAAGTATGTTGGCACACACGATTTTAGGAACTTATGTAAGATGGATGTAGCCAACGGAGTGATTAATTTTCAGAGGACTATTCTGTCTGCTCAAGTACAGCTAGTGGGCCCCAGCCTGGCTGAGGAGAGAGGCCAAGAACCTTTCCAGCTGTGTCAGTTTGAAGTGATTGGCCAGGCCTTCCTTTATCATCAAGTCCGCTGTATGATGGCTATCCTTTTTCTGATTGGCCAAGGAATGGAGAAGCCAGAGGTTATTGATGAGCTGCTGAACATAGAGAAAAATCCCCAGAAACCTCAATACAGGTAAGTTTTAAAAAAAAACCCCAAAACACAAAACTGCTATTGCCCTTAGAATATTTAAAAATATATTCTAGGGGCCGGCCCCATGGCTTAGCGGTTAAGTGTGCACGCTCCACTACTGGTGGCCCGGGTTTGGATCCCAGGCGCGCTGATGTGCCGCTTGTCTGGCCATGCTGAGGCAGCATCCCACATACGGCAACTAGCAGGATGTGCAACTATGACATACAACTATCTACTGGGGCTTTGGGGAGAAAAAAGGAGGAAGATTGGCAATAGATGTTAGCTCAGGGTTGGTCTTCCTCAGCAAAAAGGAGGAGGATTGGCATGGATGTTAGCTCAGGGCTGATCTTCCTCACATAAATAAATAAATAAATAAATAAATTCTAACATATCTTCCTCTCTTCACAATTGTCTAAATAACTAAGTCACTGAGTCTGTCTTCATGAAACTTTTAATGTAACTCGTAGCGTGTTATGAACACATAGGAGAAAGTGGTCTCTTTTAATTTTCTTCTGTCATTGTTCTATCCCTTTAGTAAGAAATAGGTGTTTGGACCAGGCCCTTAAATAAAAGGACATTCATTTCCCTCTCTATATTTTTTCTGAATTTGTGTTAAGAGGTATATTGTTAGGTTCTGGTGAAGTTAAAAAGTGAGCATTCAAACTATTCATATTAAATCTTGCTTGCTTTGTATTATGGAGTAGTCATACTACTGTACTTTTTTATTTTTCCTAATTTTCAGTTTCTGAAATGGTAGGAAAGGCAGGAAGAATAGTCAGGCTTTTCTTTTGAGAGCAGGCTGAGGTCAGATAGACAAATAATTCATTGCTAAGCAGTGAAATCTAGTTTTACTCCATACTATACAAAATTTGTATAATTTTGTTTGGACAAGTTTGGAAAAAAACACCACCAGCTGTTTGTAATTTTATAGCCGTATGGTCGAACCAAGTCAACTCACTTCTAGGTGATTTGTTACCATTGAAATTTATCCTAATCTAGATCAAGCCTAACCAATTGATCCATGGTTTATTGTCTTTTTCTTTTTTTAATTATAAAGTTGTTCCAAGTTAGGGATGGTGTTGTATTTTCTTAGCTATTAGATACTCGATATGGACAAGTTTTTCCCCTCCTTTAACCCAACTAACCCTGTTTTTTAGGGACTTGGATGGCTGCTGTGTATTCTCATACCTTATTTCTTCTCTTTCTCTCTCTCTAGTATGGCTGTAGAATTTCCTCTAGTCCTATATGATTGTAAGTTTGAAAACATCAAGTGGATCTATGACCGGGAGGTTCAGGAATTCAATGTTACTCACCTACAGCAACTCTGGGCTAATCATGCTGTTAAAACTCACATGCTGTATAGTATGCTGCAAGGACTGGACTCTGTGGCAGTACCCTGTGGGACAGGTATGCCAGGGAAATCCAAGGATAAAATGATTTACTAGAACCAAAGTTATACAGGGTTATGGGGGAGGTAGATTTATATAAAGTTTGGAGGTGATTCTATTGTGGTCAAGTATCCATGTAATGCTTGATTGTATATATTATAGGACCAAAGACGGATGGAGTGATGGAGTGGAGAAATGTTACACCTTCTGTCATAAAGCAGACCAGTGCCTTTGTAGAAGGAGTGAAAATGCGCACATATAAGCCCCTAATGGATCGTCCTAAATGCCAAGGCTTAGAATCTCGGATCCAGCATTTTGTACGTAGGGGACGCATCGAGCACCCACATTTATTCCATGAGGAAGAAACAAAAGCCAAAAGGGACTGTGATGACACACTAGAGGAAGAAAATACTATTTTGGAGAAACCAGCAAAGAGAGTCTGTGTTGATCCAGAAATTAAAAGCATCATTTAACCATATAAAATGCATCAAGATCTAGGAAGCAACAACTAGCTAAGTGGGTAGGTGGATAGAAAGGAAATACAAAATATTTACTACAACAAGACCTAGAAATTCAGATGATCGGCTCTTTAAAAACAAAAACCAAAAAACACTATAGGTCCTATTAAGGAATTTCTTACGTGAACAAGAAAGAGTGCAAACATTCTGTCATTCCTTCCTATACAGAAGGATTAAGAGATGGAAGAAGCAAAAAGCAGTTGTAAAATGGAGAGGTATTTATGTACACCTGGAAACCTGTGCCTGTGTTCACATTCATTAAAGCCTGATCCTGCAAGTGTCTAATTTGTTGTGCTGTCCTTTTTAAAAGCAAAGCAAATGTGATACTCACTACTCAGCTGAATTCTCATAAAGAGCTCTGCCCAAGTGTCTTATTTTCTAAGTCAGAAATTAAAAATAGGAAATTTGGTTAGTTAAATATCTGATAAATTGGTCTAGAGCCAGGCACAATACTACCTGAAAGTGACCTGAGTAAGACACAGCATCTCTTAGAAAGCTTATCAGACTAGTGCTGTGTGAGCCACAAATGGTCTCTGTTGCATATTTTTTTTTTTTCCTTTTTTACAACCTTTTACATATGTAAAAAACATTGTTAGCCCATGACCCATATAAAAACAGGCCATGTAGTTTACTAACCTCCGGTCTAATGGTTTAAGGAAAGCTGGTACAAGAGATATCCAAGGTAAATCTTGCAGAAGAAGTGGGAGCCAGTTAAAGTGGGGATAAAGAAGCAGAGTTTTAAGTGTGTCTAAGGCGGAAGATGCAGTTTGTCTAAAGGGTTAAAGACTACAGCACTTGTGTTCAGGTAACCATAAATACAGTGGTACATGGCTTGAGAGTGACAAACGCATAGTTTAGAAAGGTGAGCAAGGGTCATGTTTGTACACTCTTGTAGGCCTTCCTAAAAAAGCTTAGATTTTATCTTGAGAGGCGGCTGAAAAAAAATTAAAAGCCACAATTGTGTAGCAAAAACGTTGCCCTGGGTGTACTACTGTGGTCTGGATGAGGGCAAGATGATGGGACCAATTAGGAGCCGATGATTACAGCCGTTAAAGTAATCAAGGAAATAGATGATGATGGCCTAGACTAGATTTGTAGTCAAGGGAATGGAGAGAGTAGATGAATTTGAGATTAAGAAAGGAGTAGCAACAGGACTCTGTGGTTGACTGAATGTGACGTTCAAAAGGAGGGAAGCTTTCAGCATAACTCCCAGGTTTCAGATTTTAAGGACATCTGAGACACACACTGGGACAGGAAAATGAAGTGGAGCTTTGCTTGTTCTCAAAGTTGATAACTGTCAAAGTATTACTCATAAACACCAATATTTATTCAGAAGAGTTCAGTGTTCTCTTAAATACATTATCCTTTATAGCAATTAAATAATGAAGTAAATGAAAGACTTTCTACCTCAATAACAATTTTCGTCATTGCTGAGTATATTACTTATCCACATTTATACTACTATGTTTTGAGATCCAAAGTTTTATTTATCAACCAACAAATAGTTTTCTCCTACCTATGTTCAAAACTCCAGGTATACAAATGTGGTTTATATCTTCAAGCTGCTGGCTAAAATATAACTAACATATAAATAATAAACTGGTGCTGCATAAGTGCTACAGCAGCTTAGTAGCAGGTGGGCTACAGAAATAAGGCTTCATTGAAAAAGTTCCAGGTTTAGGAAGTAAAATAGTATAAGAAAAGTGAAATGACCTTGTAGTATTGAAGAATAAGAAGATACATAACAGCTTTTACATTCTAGCAGAGAGGGAACCATTTTAGAGATGGGGAAATAGTGGTATAAAATAACTAAGATTTATTCTCAATAGCCAATTGTATGATCCAGGTCTTCTGGATTTTGAATCATGTCATTGGTTTTTGGGACCTGATCTGCCAACATTTTATAATGCTCTGAATAGTCTTAAAATATGATTGCCTTCTCCTTAATTTTGATGTAAAGATCCTTTTGTTTTTAGTGTAATCATTGAGCACAGTAGAATATCTTCACTTAAACATGTAAGGACAAACCAAAGCATTTTATTTTTTTTCAATTTCCTACCTTATTTCAATATACCTTCACTGGCTTTAGTTTTCAAGTTAGAGAAAAACCTAGAAAAGAACAGAGTTTTCTAAGAAGTCACTCCTTATTTAAAATAATCAACTCTAAAGAAATGCTACATGGGACAAAAAGCACTAATTAAAAAGCCATGCTTGGGAGATTCTGTGGAGGCCAAGGAGTTGGAGGATCAAGGTCTTAGATCATAAGTAAAATCCTTTCAAGGTTAATTAGGTTGTACTATCAAATCGAGATGAATAAAGATTTAGTGACATTATTTTTGGGGTAGTTACCACAGAAAAACTTCTACCATAAAAGTCCCAAAATGTAACTTTGCAAAATTACTTCAGTTATTTGAGGTTGTGTTTGTATAAATTCCAAAGTCTCTGACCCATGGTAGGGACTAAATAAATGTTAGAAGTAAAATAGGACTTAGATCTTACTTTCTCCACTGGAAAAATGGAAGGAATTATTTCAATAGGTTGTGCAGTTTAAATCAGATTATACATATATAAATATACAAAATGTTACATATGTAACATATATAACATGTAATATGTAACGATATATATAATACATATTAATATATGACAAATATATATAAATAAAATGATGCTTTGTGAGAAGTATTAAACCATTCATTTCAATGTTCGTGCAATACCAAACTACCTAATAAAGAGACAAACATAGGATAGAGGAAAGTAAGGACAGAGAAGGAAAAGGCTGTCTGGGCTAGGAGGATTTCTAACACTAAAGCCCAAAGAGATTTTTTTATGGCACGTGTACTATGCTACACAGTGATTAATACGTTATTTTCTTTGAATTTAAATTATGGCACGCTTCCATTTTTTTTGTGAACGTATGAAGATAGGTGTTTGCAAATAATACAATACAAGCTTAAGTAAGGTCCACAGGTAACTGTCAGTTCTTTTTCTTTCTTTTAACATAAAGACCTGATAATCCTTTCTCTTTACTTAGAGGGAAACTTTCACATAGAAACTAGAGCAGCTTCTATTTTGAAGATAAATACAGATAATATTGACCAAAATACTCAACAGTACCTTCTCTTCAAAAATCTTAAGACTCAAGTGTCCCAGGCTCAGCTAGTTGCAAGTGAAAGGCTCTGAAGGGTGGACCGGGAGCACTTGAAACTGGGATACAGGGGCTGGGTCAGTAGTTAGATTCTAACCATTACAGGGAGGCTATTGCAGAGTTAGAACAAATTCCTCTACCTCTGGGGAGGTGAGCATGCAGCTTAAAGAACCACAATATTAGAAAACAAACAAGACAACCATAATCCAAAGAGACAACAAACTGGGAAATAACTGTAACAGGTTAAAAATCACTAATCCAAATTCCTCTAAGAAAGGTACTAAAAAGACACACCTGCAGAATAAAGATAGATGATTTACCAAAGAAATAATGAATAATAAACAGAAAAAAATGTTTAATATTATTAATAACACAAATAAAAACATTAAGATATCCTTTTAGATTGGTAAGATTTTTCAATACCCAGTGCTAGTCAGGGTGTGGAGAAATATGCACCCTTACCGGGGGAGGCGGAGGGGGCAGGCGTGTAGATATCAATTTCTCTAGAGAGCAGTTTGGCAATATGAATCAGAATTTAGTACCATAATTTCTAAGCCACAATCCACATCCAGGAATTATTCTAAGATAAATTGGACAAGAATGCAATCATGTATATGTTCAAGTAACCACTACTGTGCTATTTGATGATGATGAAACTGGAAAAACAAATGTCATCATTAGGGGATTGGTTAAGTAATATACGGTACAGTAGAGCCATAGCAAGAAACATTACATCTATTAAGAATGATAATGCATATCTACGTTTGACATAGACATACGTCTAAAATATTACTGAGGCATAAACTGCTTTTTAAATGAATATGCTTTATTATATTAAAAATACAGAATTATATAAAAATACATTTTGTTAAGTATAATCATGTAAATACATATTCATAATGAATATACCTGAAGCAAACCCAAATGTGAACAGTGTTTTTTTGGATGGTTATCTGTGGCTGATGGAATTTCAAGTATTTTCTTCCTTTCTTCTTTGTGCTTAATATTGCTTGGATTTATTTCTAAAAACAATGAGACTGTATAATTCTTATAATCAGAAAAAAAGGTTTATTTTCATTCTGGGGTAGGACTCTAGGGTTCTTCAATTTTACCGGCTCTCAACTCATTAGGGAAAGAGCTTCTCGCACAGTTCAACCCAGAAATTCACAAAAGGTGTGTAACTAGAAGGTAAGACTTTTCTCCCTTTATAACCAACAACAAAGACGAGACTCTGCACCATCTGGCCCCGGGCGTGGTTATCGTCTCGGACGCTCGCGGCCTCCGAGGAGGCGGCACGGCTGCCCCGCCGCCCCGGCCCCTCGCCGGGCGGCGACCCCGCGGTCCTCGCCGCTGCAGCCCCCAGGCAGCGGCGGAGGGGGTGGTGGCGGGGCTCCCCAGGGGCAGTCTGCGCACACTGTGACCTCGAGGGGCTCGGCGCGCCCCAGCACCGCTGAGACGCGCCTTAGGGAGCACAAAACTCGGGTTCATCAGCAATGTCAAGGCTCGGGACGGCGCGCCAGAGGGAACCGGTACGCAGGGGAGGGAAACTCCGACTCCCTGCTACTCAGAACCCGCCCCCTCCACAGCAGCGGGCGGGCTGCGCTCGGGGGCCCGTGCACCACCCCTCCCAGGCTTTGCCCGCTTACCAGTCCCACGGAAAACAACCGCCGCACTCAGTCCGGCCGCCCGGCTAGCGCAGCTCCGTAGGTTTCCGTTAGCGTCCCGCAGCTCGCGCAAGCGCACAGCCCACCCACGCACCGAGGCTGCCGTTAACCGACCGGCCCCAAGGTTTAAACCAGAAGAGCGAACCGGCGCCCTCTGCCCCGCCCCCCAGCCCTCCTATTGGTTCCGAGGGTGAACGTCTTCCAAGTCTACATTCTGATTGGTGCACATTTTCTCTTGGCCGTCCCCCAAGGCGGGAGGAAGCCCGGGATTTGGGGCTGATGGGGAATTACCCAAAGCCCTCCGGTCTCAAGCGCGTAACCGGGAACCGTGGCTGCGGTGCCTTCAGGCGTGCCCGGAGGGGAGAAGAGGATTCTCACGCCTCGGTTAACGGCGAGGTAGCTGGGTTTTTGGAGAGGCGATCTTAACGTCCCGTCCACCTCAGTGGAATCAGTCTCTACCCTCCCCCGCTGCGGCTGCGGGGTCGGTGAGGTCGGGAGGGGAGGGCGCTCAGAACGGCATTGGAGGCGTTTCCAGCAGTCCCGCCTCTTCATCTACCTGGGGTCTGACACGCGCAGGTTCTTCCTAAACCGGACGCGTATCTGCGCATTGAGTCCTTCCCGTGGCTTACAGGGCTCTCTGATTGACCCGTTGCTGTGTCTCCAGTTTCTACCAACGTTTCTCGCACACTGTGCTCCAACCGCTCTGACTTCCTTGCTAGACGGAGCACTCGCTGGAGGTTTTCCTCCGCAGTGCTCCTATCTGCTCCTTTCACGTAGTCTTACTCTTTAAAGAAATGAGTGTGTGTATGTGTATGTACCTGGGAAAAAAGGTCTGGTGCTTTGGGAATTGCTGAGGATGAGACCTGAGGATGAGAAAAAAAGAATGAGGTCCCACAGATAAATTTCCTAGTCACTGCCCTGCAGCATAACTAAACTTGCCCTCCAAGTCCTGAGCGTTCTGCTTATATCCCACCTCACACCACGAGGCAGGTGCACGCTTGTTGACAAATTCAACTTATATTTCTTAAATCCAGGCTTCAATGAGAGGGAGAAAATAATGTTTAATTCTTTTCCTCCAACACTTCATATTACCTCTTACTCTTCCCTCTTTGTCTCAGGGCCTTCGCACTACTTCTAAGGCACTTTGGATTTGTTGAGGGAAAGAAAAAAGAATAAAGGAGAAGATGACAGAAGTAGGCTGTGAAGATTTGAATGACCCTATCCCTAGCTCTCCAAGGTCTTAACCCTGCTTTAGAGCACACATTCTTTCCTTTCCTCGTGAATGAATATCCCATGTTCAGGTTTGGTCATCTTATACCTGCAAGACTTTTCCTTTGGCATCGAATCTCCAATCAGTCTGTGTTAGAAATAAGAGGAGACATTTTTCTTACCTATTGCTTTGATCATTCAATATACCCCCCCCATTAGTTTCTTGTTATCCTTTATGTTAGAATTTGATCTTTGAAAACCTTAATAACAACTGGAAGGGTCTATCGCCTGTCATATTTCAAGTACTATCTTGTGTTCAACTCAATACATGTTTTTTGGTGGATCACTTTATCCTCCAATTTAGCCTGGATCTGATATAATAATCCTCATGATTCCCTGAAATCCACTGAACCCAGGTCAAAAAACCTTAACCAAGACCATTTAAAATACAGTGTATGGAAGAAAATCCTATTCTTGCAAACCAAATTGCGTGTTTAAAAAGATTTATTAAGGAAAATTTCAAACATATAAAAAAATTATATGTAATGAAGCCCATGAAGCCCCATGAACTCAATGCCCAGCTCCAACAATTAACTCATGGCCAATCTTGTTGCTTCTATATCGCTATCCATGTACCTCCTCTTGTATTATTTTGAAGCAAATATCAGGCATCTGAAATCTTTAAATATTTAAGTATGATTTCTAAAAAAATAAAGGACTTTTTAAAGCATAACCACAATACTATTATCACACCTAAAATATTTAATGTATTTCCTTAATATCATCAAATATCAAGTGTTCATTTTCTACTTGTCTCATCATTTTTTTTCTTTACTTTGTTTGAACCAGGATCCAGTCAAATCCACATGTGATTGAACCAGGATCCAGGCAAATCCACATGTTGTGATTGGTTATGTCTTTTAAGTTTCTTTTATTCTCTAATTCCTCCTCCATTTTTTTCCCTTGCAGTTTATTCGTTGAAGGAACCATGTTGTTGGTCTTGTGGGGTTTCTGATAATCTGGATTTTGCTAATTACATCTAAGTGATGTTGTTTAACATGGCTTCCTCACCTTTTGGTTGTAACACAGCTCTCTTCCAGATGCTTTCTCTAATTAGGTCTAGCTGGTTTATTAAAGCATCATCTTTATGCATTCAAATATTACTTTCAACTGCTTATATTGTCATGCTTAGGTTAATCACTCCTCTATGATATCTTTGCTTACCTCACCCCTTTGTTGACATTTTCAAACTCCTTCAACTGTAGTCCTCTCTTATCTGACAAATTATCTCCTGTCTCTCACATTTCCAGTTCTTCTGTCTTTATGTCTTCCCAATGCTGGGGAACAACAACAACAGC